CCCCCCCCCATTCAATATTTTATGTCATGACATTGACTTTTCAGACCAATTTTCTTTCAAGTTTTTGTGGCTACCTTACCTAGCAAGTTTCTTGCAAATTGAAGGCTTAAATAGCTTAAAAAACCTTAAAAAATCGGTATTTTCTAGGAGATACACTGCCCGATTGGCAGATGTTGCTTCTGACATACCATTTTTAGTAGCTAATCCATTTTAAGCTAATCTTTATTTGCAAAAGTAATCTAAGGTGATTGTAAAACGTTACAACACTTTAGAAATGTATAAAATACAGAGTGAGAGTTCTGTGTAATGTCACCTCTCTGTGGCCCTAATGGTTAATTGTTTTAGGGAATTTACGTTCTTTCCCAGTACTTCATGTGTTTTTGTTTATTATACAAACTGCATTATCTGTGCATTTGGTGTGCAGTGTACTTTTTATTTCTCTGTGTGTTCTGGATGGCGTCCTATGGAATATATAGCAGGGATTGTTTTTAATAGTGGCTGGGATAAAGGTGTACCCGGCCGGCCACATTCTTTCATAGGTGTTTAAGGTGAGGCACACCCAGATGTAAAGCGCCTAGCCCAGGATTAGAAGTGTGGCTTATGCCCACGGAGCAAATATTTCTTCTGTTTGAGGCTCCCTGGTTAATATATGAGTTGAATCTTGGTGTCTTCTGCCTTGTTCTTCAACAAGGTGAGGGAATGTGTAGCAGTCAACTCTTCAGGGTTCTGTATTTGAATCCTGACTTCTTTTTTTGCTTTTTGGGGTGGGTCCCTGTGTAGTCTTTCCTGCAGATATCAGGAGATCATCAGGTTGGTCTACCTTAGAGGTAAACATGACAGTCTGCCAACACAAAGTGATTTAGAAATGTTAATAGGTTTTACCAAGCCACAGTCTCTCGCATGTGTATTTTAAGCCATCATAAAACATACCTGTCATGCTAAGGAATGTGCCAGAGGGCAGGCATCAAAGACCGGCCGAGGGAGTCTGGGGAGTATGTTTTGCTCTGTTGTAGGGTTGTGCCCTGACAACCTCTGTGAGGCCTGGGGTACTGACAGGGAGTGGTTTCTAAATATTAAAGCCATTTTATTTATTAATTCAGGAATGCCTGTAAATAGTTACTCATATTTGCCCCTCTAAGTGTCAGGGGGCTCCGAGGTAATTCTTTGGATGAAAGGTGTGCAGTCAGGCTGGATCTGCTTGACTTAGGGAATGGAGTTAACACAACAATCACATGAGCAAGAGATAGTCTTTTGGGCTTAATGGGGAAGAGAAAGGTGAACAGAGAGTTGTCTGAACATTTCTGGCTTCTTTGGAAGATAACGATGAAGAAACTCCCAGTGAGAGCAGAACAGTAAAAGCCACTTTTGCTGTTGTTTTCTTTTTGTGTTCTCCATGGCAGTGTCATCCCTTGAATTTGGTGGGACATGAGGGTGTAAGTACATCTCACTATTAGTTAAGTAAATTATCTTTAATTTGGTGGCAAGGCTTTTGCGTCAAGCATTTTGTAAAAGAACAAAATGACGGTAGGGCAGTTCCCCACATCTAACTGCCTGTTTGGTGAAGAAGAGCACAGAGTTGTGATAATAAATGCATTAGATTCATATATTTAAAACTTCAAATGTAGAAAGTTGCTGACTTCCATTAAATGTGCATTCTCTTCATTTTCTATCATCCGTTCTAAGTGTATAAAGTAAATAACAAAATAAATATTAAGATAAAAATAAAGGTAAATAGTGTTAAGGTAAAGAAGGAGGCAGTGTTGCAAAGAGGGAGAAGGAACAAGATAAGATTCTAAGTTCAGGATCAGCCAGTCACGTAAATCATCGAGCTTCACTTCTTTCCCCTGTAAAAGGGGGGGATCAGAGAGCCTATGCCATCAGGCTGTTAATGAGGTTGAAACGAGAGGATCTATTTAGAAGTTACACAGTGTTCCAGTTCCACCGCTACTGCTTTCTTGAGTGGACAGGATGGTGCAGTGAAAAAAGCATGGGAATTCAAGGCCCATAGACGTTGGTTTGAATTCTGACGTTGCCATTCACCTTGTGCGTCTTTAGGTGAGGTCTTCTCATCTCTCCGATCCTCCGCGTCCTCAGCTGTCGAACGGATTTCATCAGCTCCCTCTTGTAAGATCAGGTAGAGCTCATGGGCTCCACCAAGAGGCTTGAGGGCTGCAGAGCTTGCTGGTTCTCGAACGTGGACGTCCGGCCGACCGGGGACGTGTGCTCGCGTGTGCGGATCCTACGCCGCGGCATCCGCAGCCTCCCTTGCAGCCAATGACCTTGCTGCTTCTCTGTTCGCAGCGATCCTCCGCAGCGCCACACCGGGCATGGACACCTTTCTCGGCGTCTGGAGGAGCACGTGCGGTAGTGTCATCACCCAGACACGAAGCTGCTAAGGCCATCTCAAGGGCGTGGGCGCCGGGATAGGAAGGCGGCGTCCGAGGGCCACGCAATCATGCCTTTCGGCCTGAAGCTCCGTCGGACACGGCGCTACAACGTCCTGAGCAAGAACTGCTTTGTCACACGGATCCGCCTGCTGGACAGCAATGTGATCGAGTGCACGCTGTCGGTGGAGAGCACCGGGCAGGAGTGCCTGGAGGCCGTGGCCCAGAGGCTAGAGTTGCGAGAGGTAACAGCGGGTGTGGGCGGGCATCTGAGCCAGAACTCACTCAAGGGACTGGCCACCTGTCTCTTGGCACCTGCCGTGCTTTGCAGTCCCAGCCTCCTGTTTAAGAGGATCCTGTTGTCCTTGGCATAGGCTTGATCTCACAGCGTCAGTGGATCAGGAGGCCTGCTCCAATGCCGTGACAAGCAGGACCCCGCCTGGGGTGGCGGCTTCCCTTTTGTTACCTTCTATGAGGAGGTTGGGCGGGGGGTGGGGGGGGGGGCCTTGTCACGTCCAAAGTCATTGTCTCTCTTTACAGCCGTGGAGCGGGTTGGCATTCCAGCTGAACATCTAGGAGAAAACGCCCACAGAGGGGATGGATGCAGCTGCTTTTAGTTTTTGTTTGTTTGTTTCTATATTTTCCTCTTCAAAGAGGGGAAAAAAATGAAAAAGTATTTAAAGCGAGCATGACCAGCGAGGCTTTTTGTGGGCGCATATAAAATGGGCGTTTTGTTTCTTTCAGGATTCCTCATGACCCTCGTTTTCTTTCTGCTGTCTCTGAGCGTTTTAAATTTTTTTATTTATTAAAAAATTTTTTCTTTTAATGTTTATTTATTTTTGAGAGAGAGAGAGACAGAATGCGAGCAGGGGAGGGTAGAGGAAGAGGGAGACACAGAATCCCAAGCCGACTCCAGGTTAGGCTCTGAGCTGTCAGCACAGGGCCCGACATGGGGCTCGAACTCCCAAACGGTGAGATCATGACCTGAACCGAAGTTGGACACCCAACCGACAGGCATTCCTAGACCTCTTTGGGCTTAAACAAAGCCAGGGTTGACCATGAAGGCAGTCATGTTATCACTCTTTAAAAGGAACTCTCCTGGGGCAGCATGTCCTTTATAAGAAGCAAGCCCTTAGTCTTCCAGTCTTAATTCTTTGGTGAGAACCCTGCACACGCATATGCGTCCTGAGAGCCCCGGGGCAGAGTGGCCAGTGGGTCAGGTGGTATAATTCAGTGGTTGCCAGCGCAGAAGGGACTGCAAGCCCCTGAGATTTGAGGAGCAGAAAAAGCTCTGTGGTTGTTCTGGGCCCTGTGACCACATTGCCCATTACCTCAGGGTGCTGGTTTGGGAGGTGGTGCCTTCTGGAGGTGATGGTGTTTGATGTCTTCCACACCCCTCATGACCCACCTTCTTCCACATGCACAAAGGAATTGGGGTCGGGGAAGTTCTTCTCCCCTTGGCATCCTCCACAGGCCAACTGTTGTATTCTTGGGGACAGTTTCACCTGAGTCCTTCTGTCTCCTGCCGGTCTTCATGTTTATACTTCAGTTTCTGTGATCAGAGCTTCCTTTGAAGTTTCTTTTCCTGTATAGGGAGACTTTCCTGTCACACAGCTACATGTGGCTTGGTAGCTGACCCAGCAAAATAAACATGGAAAAGGTGCTGCCTTTGCCTGTTGAGAGCTGGTTCCTTTTGGCTTATGAGTAGCACATTGGGGTATACATATTTAAAAATATGCGTGTGCATGGGCATAAAGGAAAAACCTTAATACTGGAGGTTGGTTGGTTAGAAGACTGGTCTAAATTTCTTGTGAAAATGTTCGTTCTAGATCGTTTACGAAAGATATGCACTGGTTCCACTTTTGAATATTCTCTGTAACTCACGGGGGAGTAACTATTCTTTGCATATACTGGGAGACAGTAGAGCACGTGCTGAAGGAGTTATAGGCTCAGTCTTTGGCCTCCTGGACTTGGGTTCAAATTATAGTTGTGTCATTTGTTAGGTGTCCTTGGAAAAGTTACCGTGCTTCTCTGGGCATCGGTTTTCTCACCAATAAAGTGGAAATAATGATAACCTTACTTATCTTATGGGACTGTTGTAAATATTAAAAGAGATACAGTATGGAAAATGCATAGTGCTGCATCTAATATTGACAACTGTCCCAATTTGAGAGTCTTAAAAATTTTTCATTGAAGAAAATCTTGAGCAACTGCAATGTGCCAGGCACTGTGTTAGGACTTGATGAGGGAAGATAAATAAGGTGTAATTTTGTCTTCAAGATATGCACGGGTGAGTAGGGGAATCCAGCATTTAAATAAGCAGTTAACGCTGAATGCGACCTAGGGGCGCCTGGGTGGCTCAGTCGGTTAAGCACCCGACTCTCGGTCTTGGCTCAGGTCATGATCTCACGGTTCATGAGTTTGAACCCCTCATCAGGCTCTGCGCTGACGGTGTGGAGCCTGCTCGGGATTCTCTTTCTCTCTCTGCCCCTCCCCACTCTCTCTCTTTCTCTCTCTCAATAAATGAATAAACTTAAAAAAAACAACAACACAAGATTAAATGCAATCCATGCTAAAATGCAATGCAGGTGCAGGCCGGAAAGGCAGTAGCTCTTCTTAGACTTGTGCAGTACACAGTCTGTGCTGCTGACCGCTGCGGCCCCGGGAGGGGAGAGGAAGTTTCAGTGAAGGATGAACAGAGCCGTCACTCTCTGAACGGGGACTTGAAGGATGCACAGGACTTCAGCAGGTGGCAAAGAAAGCAAGGCCATCCAGGGCCAGGGGAACTGGAGTCTTGAAGATCCAAGGATGCAAAAGCAGGTGCCATTCTTGGGGGCCAAGAAGGCATCTCTGTGAATCCCCAGGCAGAGTCTAAGGTGCATGCGGAGGCGGGTCTGGAGATGTGGACGGTAATAATTACTCTCAGCAGAGTATTGCTTCTCTCAGTGAGAGGGCAAAGGTCAGACCCGGATTAGCCCACAACTGTGTTGTCACAAAAGACAAAGCAGTGAAGTCTAGATTCTGCTGTCACGTGTCTGTTGCAGTGTGATTGATCTTCTAATGCGAAGGTGGGGTTGACATTTAATGCTGGCTTTATTTTGACATGCTCTAAATGGGTGCATTCACATTAGAGCAAATCACTTTCTTTTTTTTTTTTTTTTTTTTTTTTTTGATTGTATGCTTTTGTTCTGTGACAGATGACATGGAAGGTATGGCCTTTTGTGAAACAATGCTATAGCTACTTTCAAACGAGAGGATGAGATCACGCAACCTCCTACTTTGTTCTTCATTTGCACACACACACCTGGAGGAGGAGTGCATTCTTTCCCCAGAAGCAGGAGGAGGAGGGGATGGACACGGGGTCTGATCTACTCGCTTGACTTTCTTTTTGTATTTGGGTCATTTTCCAAGTAGAGTTGATGGAGCTTGAGAGGAGAAAGTGGAAATCTATCTAAAATACAACAGAATGTTGAGTCTTTATTAAGGCTTGGAACTCAGATCTGGTGGGTATTTGGCTTTGTTGTTAGAAGGATTCTGTAGTTGGGGTGCCTGGGTGGCTCAGTCAGTTAAGTGTCCAACCTTGGCTCAGGTCATGATCTCACAGTCTGTGGGTTCGAGCCCCACATCGGGCTCTGTGCTGACAGCTCAGACCCTGGAGCTTCTTAAGATTCTGTGTCTCCCTCTCTCTCTGCCCCTCTCCTGCTTGTGCTTTGTCTTTCTCTATCTCTCAAGAATAAACATTGGGAGGCCTGGGTGACTCAGTCAGTTAA